GCCGGGAACCCACAACTGTATTTACCCGGTGATCTGTTCTGTCATTGGACACAGCTGATCATGTAGTAAAAGACCACTGTGATTGGTCATTTACTGTATCATGTGATCAGCTGCATCATTAGGACACAGCGATCACCAGCAGCGCCAGAACTAGACAACTGTGCTGTAGCTGTCTTTGGGCTATAGCGTGGTCGGGAACTAGTTAAACCTGGAAGTGACCAGCAGCTTCTAAAGAGGTCAGGAACTTCCATACAGACTATGTTGGGGTAGATATATAAATGCCCCCTCCTTTCAGCTGAGCTGCAATAACCGAATGATCAGGTCCACGGAGGATCCTGGAGGCATGGTTGGGAACACGTCAGGCACCTGACAGGTCATGAGATGTCATGCATGCCACCTTTGTGTTCGCTGGCTTCCCAGCAATGCCAGGGGGAATCTCCATGAGCCTGAGCTGCAGACATGACTTGGGCATTGGTTTGCTGATGGGCACTTCTGTGCAGCTGTGCTGCAATATGTGGAGGATGGCGGCCATGGACACCTGTAATGTGGGCAGTGCAATGTGTAGGTGGGGCTTTGTGTGGGTGTGGTTTGAGTGTGGGCGGGGACACAGGGACCCTATGATCTCTTATTGCACGGGGGCCCCATGAATTATCAGTCCTCCCCCATTCCTAAAATATTCCGGAATTTCACTTTCACTATAGCGGAGAGGTGCCGGGCAGGATTCCAGCTGAGCTGTGTGCAGTGTGGGAGGCAGAAGAGTCGGGACGGACATGTGAACAATGCAGTCTGCCATCCATCTTCTGACTTCATCCTTCTGACTTCATCCTTCTGACTTCATCCTTCTGCCGTGGGGAGAGCTCCGGTGATTGGACACAGGGATTGGGGGTGTCATCTAATGTTGTCATGATGGCTCCGCCCACTCTGCTGGGAGGCTTCAGTGGCAAAAGAGGTCAGGCATGGAATGGGGGATAGATTCTTCTGCAGCCAGGAGCCCCTCCCACACTGCGCCCAGGGCAGCTGCCCCTCCCCCCTTACCCCTCACTCACTGACACCCCAAAATTCCCACACTGATTCATGAACACAGACACCTGCACCCCTCACTCACTGACACCCCCCAAAATTCCCACACTGATTCATGAACACAGACACCTGCACCCCTCATTCACTAACACCCCAAAATTCCCACACTGACTCATGAACACAGACACCTGCACCCCTCATTCACGGACACCCCAAAATTCCCACACTGACTCATGAACACAGACACCTGCACCCCTCATTCACTGACACCCCAAAATTCCCACACTGACTCATGAACACAGACACCTGCACAACTGATTCACTAACACCCCAAAATTACCTTACTAATCCATCAACACAGAAACCTGCACCCCACATTCACTGACACCCCAAAATTCCCACACTGATTCATGAATCCAGACACCTGCACCTCTCACTCACTGAAATCCTCACACTGTTCCTCCAGCACAGACAAATCACACCCAACCTCACTGACACCCAACCCCCATCCCCCCCGCACCACCACAGATTGACATTCACATGTACAATAGAGGAAACTCTTTATTTTCGGATTCCTCATCCATCACCAGGACACATCTAGTGATTATAAGATACAACACCCCAATGATACATTCTATTAGGATCTATGAGGAAAGTCACCCAATAGAATTCGATGGCTGATCCCTTCTATGGGGACACATTATATTGGGGTACATTCCAGGTCTATTCATCAGACATTATTACAGTCACATCATTATATTGGGGATAAATACCATTTTTTTGGTCACTAGTAAATCTCGGTATCCAGTACCCCTCTATCTGTACTCCCCATACTGGGTCCCCTCGGCAGCCACGCCCCTAATATGACATCACAGCTCGAAAACAGACAATAAGTCGTGTTACTCTCTGCACTCTGTCTCAGGTCCGGAACGCTATACAATTCTTCACCGTCCCATCTCACCATACACAGCGCTCATGTAGTGGGAGGAGCCACATTAAATAATGCCCCACCCCCTCTGTAGGTGACATAAGAGCTGTAGACACACCCACTTATACCTTCCTTTCTTGTTGCTCCATCAAGACCCTCCATAGGCCCCCACTCTCTGTGATCTTCTCCCAACATACAGTGTTCAGGCCTGAGCAGCCAATCAGCAGGATTCCATATGGTCACATGATGGAGGGGTGACATCATCAATCCTGAGATAACCCGACATGGGTTAGGACTCGGACAGAGGAACGGAGTGATGGCGGAGCGATGAGAGTGGATAGAAGTGGGTCGGGGGACGATTACTACCTTGAATTAGCCAATGACAGGAACTCTTTAAAGTCATTTGGGCCCCAAAACAACCTGATACTTATAGGGTCCTTACATAATGGGACATACTTGGGGCCCCCAGGTAGTGCTGAGACAAGGCAAAAAATCAAACATGTGCTCCCCATGATCTGTGAGCTACCTGAGCACCATAGGGTGCAGGCCCTGCCCTTTTCTGTGCTCCGCCTCCTGCTGAACCACCCAAGGTGACCATCTCCTAACCAAACCTTTTGCTTTGCCCCACCCCCAGACCGTACAATATATGTGGGGACCCCCAATGTTATATTACCCAGATACCTGGCAATGGGACCAATTTGTTGGCCCCAGACAATCTCACATAATTTGGGGCCCCCAACCATGTGAAAGATTTGGCCCCTGGCTTCCCTCAGATTCTTCCAGAAAGAGAAAGTGACAGATTAACCCCATGCTCTCCTCTCTCCCATCTGATTGGGGGCAGCAGTGCAGAGTGTGAGAGCCTGAGCAACCAATCAGAGGGGGGAGTGCAGGCAGCACTGTGATGTCTATTACTGATCAGCATGTTCCCCGCTCTCACCCTCTTCATCTTCCCATCTATTCTACATATTAGCAGCCTGATGTATGACGGCTCTCTGTAGAATATCGTCTTCTCTGGTGGGGAAGATGAGGAGGGTGAGAGCGGAGAACACGCTGCACAGCAACATCCATCTCAGTGCTGCTTCCACTGACACCGACACCCACACTGCTCCAATTCTAGGAAGGAGATGTTCTATTACAGTCCATGCCAAGACAAAGACTTGATTTCTAGTTGTGGATGGTGTGGGGAAGGAGGAGAACCCCGGCTGGCTTTTCCTACTATAGGGGGCTCTGGGACAAGGAGTGAGGGCCAATCTGTACCAGGGACACAGACATAGAAAGATCTGACAGGGGCCCCAAACCTTCCCCTTCTTTACTCCACTAAACATAGGATTCTTATTTCACTCTGTGTTTCTGTTGAAGAGTTCCCCTCATTTCCTGTCTAGGAAAATGTCACCGGGGACAGGAAGTGAGGAGAAATCTCTCTAACGGAGCCCCAGATAGGAAACACCTGACCGGGGATCTAATCCTGACCCACTCGGCCTACAAACTAAGTCTTCAGTCCCATTGGATCCCACTTTGTAATCTGGAAACGTCACTTGAAGTCACTCGATTCCAAAGTGGGATGTCAGTGCGACTTCAGGTGCGACTTGCAGGACATCTGTGTGACTTTATATACAAGTCTATGCAAGTCGCAGCTGAACTTGGAAAAAGTACAGCAGGAAGAACTTTCATAATCGGTGCGACTCGGATGGAGGGGGATTTGTACCGGTATGACCGCTTCCATTGTGGACAATAGAGTGCGACTTGTCATGTGATGAGAAACTATCAACTCACATGACGAGTCGCACCGCTGTGACCGGGGACTAAGAAACACAGTCTGGGCTCTCTGGTACATCAGATTATTTCTTTCAGTAGTAAATCTGTAGAAGACGTCTTCATATATTTCCTCTCAGATTGTTACATTTATTTCCATCTCTTTGTAGTATAAATTGTATGGAGGAGGGGGAGGGGAGAGGGAGAGCTGAGAGAGGGGGAGGGGGGCAGAGAGGACAGGTGACCCCCCATCCTATCCCATCACATTGACCGCATCCCACCCTCTATGTCTGATCATGGTGCCACCCCATACAGAGGGACCACATGGGGGGGAGGGGCAAGAGATGAGGAGGGGAGGGGCAGAGAGGAGAGGTGACCACATCCTATCCCATCCCAGTGACCATCCCAGTGACCGCATCCCACCCTCTATGTCTGATCATGGTGCCACCCCACACAGAGGGACCGCATGGGGGGGGCAGGACAATAGAGTAAGAGGGGGAGAGGGGGGAGGGGCAGAGGGGAGAGGTGACCACATCCTATCCCATCCCAGTGACCATCCCAGTGACCACACCCCACCCTCTATGTCTGATCATGGTGCCACCCCATACAGAGGGACCACATGGGGCAGAGGAGGGGCAAGAGAGGAGAGATGATTTATATAAAATTTATATTGTGTTTCTGATTATTATGGGATGGATGGATGGGATCGATCACATCATCATCATCATCATCACCATTAGGACGAATGTTATTGTGACTCCAGTAATTGGACAGAAATTCCACCCACAGAGATCACAGAGATTGAAAGCCCCCGCCCACCTCTATATACTATTGGATGAATAAGAAATGAATTCCAATTCTACGTCTGACATCACCAGAGTGTGGGCGGAGTTCTCACATCTCCCCCCCCCCTCCCCCCACATATCTTTATACAACCTCCCCCTACACCCCCCACCATGGAGGGGCTCAGTGAAGGTGGTGGTGAAGGTGTGGAGGTGTCGGATCGGGTCACACAGATCATAGAAGGAGATCCGCCCGGCCTCATAATCCAGATATATCCTGACTCTGTTACTGGAGGGATTGGTGGGTAATGGGATCCGATGTCTGTCATGTATCACTGAATACTCATGATCATCATCATCCCTGTCCAAACCCCAGGACTTGTTATTCCTTCCAATCAATGACTCCACTCCTCCTCTCCTGTCTATACTGGGGTAACACATCCCGACTACCCAGCTCTCTGACCCCCCGACATCCACTTCCCAGTAATGTCTCCCTGAGGAGAACCTCTGACTGCTCATCACCTGAGAATTATACTGGAATCTCTCTGGTGTTTCTGGATGATTCTGGTTCCTATATGTCCCGGACACAGTTTTCCCGTCATCTGATATCTGTAGATAATTACTAGCTGTGTTTCCATCCAGTAATATGTCTGCAGCCCCCTGTATATAGAAGGATACATTTACCCCTGTTATTATATCAGATAAACCTGTGTGTAAGACCCCCACGCCACATCCAGCCCCCCTCCATCATGGAGGAGTTCCTCATGTCTCTCTCTGTCCTCATCATCTCCATCCTCAGTATCACACAAGTCACCTGTGTCTGATTCCTGTAGGACAGTCAGTGGATCCGTCATGTTACACATCTCCTCAATGTCACGCATCTTCCTGGACAGCTCCTCCTTCTTTATTTCCAGATCCTGGATGAAGATGGAGACCCGCTCTGCCCTCCCGGAGATGTCCCTCAGGACTCTCTTCTCCAGGTCTTCCAGACGTCTCCTGAGGTCTATAAACAGGGCAGTGACTCTCTCGGTGTCACCAGCTTCTTCTTCTTCTACTTTCCTCCTGTGTTCCTGCAGACTCTGGACTCTTTCCTCCATCTCCTCTCTCTTTGTCAGAAGTTTCTGCAGAACATTCCTCAGTGTCTCCTTCTTCTTCTCAGAAGCCCCATCCAGTGACATCATCTTATGTCCTGTGTGTTCTCCAATCATACAACAAGACAATACAGATACAGGTCTCATCCTCAGTGCAGTAATACTCCAGGATCTTCTTATGGACGGAGCATTTCCTGCTCTCCATGGACAAGGTGGGGTCACATAAGATGTGTTCTGGGGACTTTTTGTGGACTTTCAGGTGTTTATCACACAGAGAAACCTCACAGTGTAGACAGGATCTAACAGCAGGTACAGGAGAGTCCACACAGTAAGTACAGAAGACCCCGGAGTCCTCCTGACCTGGCTGAGCAGACAGGAAATTCTCTGCTATGTTACGTAGTTTCATGTTCTTCTGCAGTGGAGGACGACCCGGAAACTTCTCTCTGCATTCAGGACAGGAATATCCTCCAGACCCCTCCTGTGTATCCAGCACACGACCAATACAGACCCGGCAGAAGTTGTGTCCACATTTCAGGGTCACAGGATCGGTATAAATGTTCAGACAGACGGAACATTCCAGCTCAGCTCTCAGAGCAGAAGACGCCATCGCTGACAGCAGAAGAGAAACGAAACTGAAAGTCTCTGACACCGGAGAGGAATGCAGTGGGGGAGGGGTGACACCCTCCTACACAGGGGAGGCTGGGCTGGGTGAGTATTATAGGACACAGAGATCAGAGTACAGAAGGAGGAGTTTGTTTGTTTCTGCCGTAGTAACAATTATTATCACACCTCCCAATACGTATTTAGAAAGACAGAGAACGAGGGAAAGCGCTGTACATTACAGAGGGGGAGAGAACAGGAGGAACTAAGTGCATTGAGATGGGAACATGAGGGGATCGTGACCCTGGCCTTGGACTGGCCAATCTAGGGCACACCGCCCAACATTTGAAGTGGGCTGGGGGCCACCAGCCAGGATGCCCAGTGCATCATGGAGCAGACTAAGTGCATTGAGATGGGAAGTGGAGGTGACAGGCAGGAGCACACCGGGCATTTGCAAGCTGGGGCCACTGGTCAGCATGCAGAGTGGCAGCGGGGTGCCGAGTGCTGGAAGTGTTCTCTGCCCTCCTGCACCCAGCAGGAGAAGAAACCACGCTCTACTGTCACACAGGGCCGACGGGGGAAGGGGAGCTCCGGCCTTCTGCTCTTCAGTGTGACATCTGCATTATCCCCTTTATGTTACATTAGTGGCAGTGTTTATTATCCCCTTTATGTTACATTAGTGGCAGTGTTTATTATCCCTTTTATGTTACATTAGTGGCAGTGTTTATTATCCCCTTTATGTTACATTAGTGGCAGTGTTTATTATCCCCTTTATGTTTTATGCATTAGTGGCAGTGTTTATTATCCCCTTTATGTTACATTAGTGGCAGTGTTTATTATCCCCTTTATGTTACATTAGTGGCAGTGTTTATTATCCCTTTATGTTACATTAGTGGCAGTGTTTATTATCCCCTTTATGTTACATTAGTGGCAGTGTTTATTATCCCCTTTATGTTACATTAGTGGCAGTGTTTATTATCCCTTTATGTTACATTAGTGGCAGTGTTTTTATTATCCCCTTTATGTTACATTAGTGGCAGTGTTTATTATCCCCTTTATGTTGCATTAGTGGCAGTGTTTATTATCCCCTTTATGTTACATTAGTGGCAGTGTTTTATCCCCTTTATTACCCCTTTATGTTTACATTAGTGGCAGTGTTTATTATCCCTTTATGTTACATTAGTGGCAGTGTTTATTATCCCCTTTATGTTACATTAGTGGCAGTGTTTATTATCCCCTTTATGTTATTAGTGGCAGTGTTTATTATCCCCTTTAGTTACATTAGTGGCAGTGTTTATTATCCCCTTTATGTTACATTAGTGGCAGTGTTTATTATCCCCTTTATGTTACATTAGTGGCAGTGTTTATTATCCCCTTTATGTTACATTAGTGGCAGTGTTTATTATCCCCTTTATGTTGCATTAGTGGCAGTGTTTATTATCCCCTTTATGTTACATTAGTGGCAGTGTTTATTATCCCCTTTATGTTACATTAGTGGCAGTGTTTATTATCCCCTTTATGTTACATTAGTGGCAGTGTTTATTATCCCCTTTATGTTACATTAGTGGCAGTGTTTATTATCCCCTTTATGTTACATTAGTGGCAGTGTTTATTATCCCCTTTATGTTACATTAGTGGCAGTGTTTATTATCCCCTTTATGTTACATTAGTGTGAGTGCGAAAGAAGAGGTTAAGTGGAGGAGTTGGGATGTAGCCGGGTTGTTGACATTGAGGGGGATATTGAAGTCTCCAAGGATGATGGTGGGTAGCTCAGAGGAGAGGAAGAAGGGCAGCCAAGCGGAAAAGTCATCAAGGAAGCAGGATACGGGTCCAGGGGGCCGATAAATCACTGCAATCCTCATGGGGGCGGGGGAGAAGAGTCAGATGCAGTGGGCCTCGAAGGAGGAGAAGGATAGAGAGGGGGGGTTTGGGTGGACCTGGAAGTTGCTCAGCGGTGACAGGAGCATGCTGACCCCACCACCTCTGCGACCGCTTGGTCTGGGTGAATGGGACCAGACGAGACCTCCATAGGAGAGTGTTGCAGGGGACGTGGAGTCAGTGGCTTGGATCCAGGTTTCAGTGACCGCTAGGAGGTTGAGGGAGCGGGAGATAAAGAGAACATGGATGGCGGTGAGCTTGTTGCACACTGAACAGGCATTCAGGAGTGGGGGGGGTGGGTGCGGAGAGGAGGGGGACAGGTATAAGGTTGAGGGGGTTGCGGCGGTTTGTGTGAGTAGGAGGGTGCCAAGTGGGTGAGTGAGGTGGTGAGGGGCCAGGTTTTGGGGAGATATCCCGGCATTGAGGAGGAGAAGGAGGGTGAGAAAGGTGGCATGAGAGTGGGATGTGCAGGACCGTGTGGGTCTGTTAGTGGTGGCTGTAGCAAACTTGATCATCAGAGTTGGACGCGGAGTTCCCCTTCTCCTTTTTCTTTTCTTTTTATTTGAGGTATTCCTCGATCATTCACTCCCTACCCCCTCCGTTCCTGAGTGACAGATGGTGGGGGGTCAACACAGGTGAAGGCATCCCTAGTTTGGTGCCGAGCAGTCTGCGAAAGTGTAACCTTTCTCACCCATCATAAAACAGATAAGACCTTCTCCCCGGACTTGAAAGAAGTTGGAACCTCATAAAACTGACCAGCAGTTAATTGAACATTCCTCAGGTCAGCTGTCACCTATGTTTCATATCATGGAGTATGAAGCTGTTAGTTTTAATTGAGAGCCCACTGACATCCTGCCCAAAATATTGTATTGGGCAGACTCAGAGCCACCCCCCCCCCCCCTGCAGGGGAATTTTAAAAAGGACAGGCTGGAGGTAAGCTAAGAAGAAAAGCACATCTCCTGAGTTTAACATGGTAACAGAGGAGATCAAAGACCCTTCCTGCTCTGCACTTGGATCTGCTTACAAACCAAGACATATTGGCAAGTAACTTAACCCTGTAACTTCCTTCCTATTATCTCTTTGCTGTACCTTTATATGCATATATATATTGTGGGAACTCGCTTCAAAGTGGTAGAGCTTTTCATTTAAATCACACAGCGACTCGCTTCTTTAAGGACCTTTTTGCCCAATTTTATTTAAACAAATGTCTCATAACATAAAGCTTCCCACGCAGGGGTATCCACCATCAAACAAAACAATGATTCAGCCTCCTGGCTTATACTCAGCTTGATGTCTGTCTCCCGCAGACTTCTTCAAGAATTATGGCTCTTGCACACCGCTGGCCTCTAGCACACAGCTAGTCTCTAGCAGCCCCTTGCTGCTTTTGGCTTCCACCTCTCCTAGGTGGAGCCCTCCTGACTCCTATCTGCCGGGGTGGAGCCTAGAACTCTGGTCCTGACTCTCTCTAAAGGCCCGCACACACCTGTGCAATCAGTCTCCTGGCCTATTCCAACACCTGGTCCCAGGATTGGAGATTTCATCCCTCCCTTCGAAATCTCCAGGCTCCAGCTCCCAAAATGGACCTTATAAACAAAGGAGGAAAGTGAAAAGCCACTTTCCTCCATATCAAACCTTTACCCTGGAGCCCCTCAACCTGCCTTGTTGAGAATCCAGGGTGACAGATCGCCACACTGTCACAATATATATAGCTACATTTTCTTTGTAAATATTTTATTGCACCTGTTTGACTCTTTTAGTAATAAATCTTTCTTTCTGAAAGTGTTAAACTGTTTCTAAGCGCTTACTTGCAATTCACGAATTCCTGCCTTTGAAGAGAGGCTACTGTGTTTGTTTAATCCTCTGCCCAATCAGTGACCGTATTGGACAGGTGACTTTTCAATCATTATAGTGTATATTTGATAACGGGAGTTTCCCAGTCTCCGACAAAAGTGTGGTGGTGGCAGTAGAGGGTTAGTTGTGTAATTAACCCGACCCAGTAACAAGCACATTCAGGCTGCAGGCACCAATTGTAGCCCATTAGCTGGACAATCGCTGTGCAGGGTGCAGCT